AGCTCTGCACCTTGCAAGCATCTGTCTTACACTGTTCTTATCTATCTATCTATCTGTCTATCTATCTATCTATCTATGTTATGTCCATATCTATCTATTGATCTATCTTATTCTGTTCATATCTATCTATCTATCAGTTTGTCTGTCTATCTATCTATGTTCATACCTATCTATCGATCTATCTTATTCTGCTCATATCTATCTATCTATCTATCTGGGAAAATGATTTAAAAGTCTATTAATGTGTATTAAAAAATTCTTAATTTTTAAAAAATAGTTTATTTTTTTATACATTCAAAAAAGGAATATACAAATAATCTCTCTCTCCCTACGCACACGTAAAAACACGCGCGCGAGTGCACAAACACACGCACATACATAAATGCACATAAAAAACACATATACGCACGCACTATATATATATATATATATATATATATATATATATATATATATATATAAATATATATATATATATATATTATGCTTAAAAGTAGTACTTGTTCGTGCAATTGGTATCGAGTAAAGATCTAACTACGATCGCAAACTAGTTTTGTGTGAGGGCCGTGTTCATTTGTACACACACACACACACACACACACACATATATATATATATATATATATATATATATAAACGGTAGAGTGGTATGATGCAAGGCATTTTTAGTGATGATTCTAGAGTGGCTGATTCTTACTATAAAAACAAATTGGGTTACAAGACAAATTTGACAAACATCACGTGGCGCGCTAGATGCTTTTTACATACATCATCATATATATATATATATATATATATATATATATATATATATATATATATATATATATATATGGGGTGCGTGGGTGTGTATGTGTCTGTATGTGTGTTTATATGTTGTTGTTTGGAGGAGGATTAATGCACCATAGACACACATATATGCACGAACACACGCATATATATATATATATATACACACACACGAACACGTATATATACACACGAACGCCTATATATAAACATGAACAAAAACACGCGCGCACACACTCTCACACACACACACACACATATATATATATCTGTGTGTGCGTGTACAAGTTGATATCTGAGCGCTATTTGAAGCAGTCGATTAATGTGTTTATTTTTTATGATTTCCTCTCGTTTCCCCCCTCTTACCACAAATTTTTAAAAGAATTTTTTTTTTGATTTTGTTTGAAAAATGCCAAGTTATTATCTGCAATTCCTTGAATTTTTGGATAGCACCTTTCAATGCCGACACATATTCATTCGATACCTGCAGCAGACGAACAGTGTGCGAATTAGTTGGACGACCTGTTTCTTAAATCCCGAGATCAATTCTCAGTTTTTCCAATAATTGTGCAGCTGTGACAGGATTATCTACCACATACCCGAAGAAGGATCAGTATGTCCGTAATATGACGTAGACATGGTTTGATCTTAAAATTTGCAATTTCTGATGATAAATTAAATCCAGCAACAAGGCCTCTGATCGGGAGATTGGTGGCTTTGCGTTTTTAATTGCTGTTGTTCCAAGATCCACCCTGACCCGAGGTGGTTGCACCTGTTGTGGTCATAGCTATGGGCAAATACTGAGCACCCCTCAAACAAAATCAAAAATCTATGACAGCTTAGAAAGATATTGTTATAGTAAAAATACCAGGAGTACATTTTATTTAAAAAGAATGACCAATTACACCTATTTGTCAGAAAATGACTAATGATAAATTTTATCTGTAGTTGAAGGCATACAAATCTGTTCAAAATATTTAGATTTTGGCATTAAAAAAACTCTTAGTTGTTGACATGCCGCCAAAATATCAACCAACCAATTGAAATTTACATTTAATTGTCTAATGCTTTATCTACTAAATGATTCTACTGAAAAATAAATCATATTTTCAAATATTTTTTAATCATTTCATCCCGAGCAAAGCAAGAAAACTGCTAAGACGCAAGTTATTTTTTGTTTTACTTGTGTAATTAGCCGATAAAAACATGTAATATATATTGGTGTGTTGCATATAACAGTTGTCAGCAAATGTAAATGAATTCTTCTATTTGCAGGGTCGTTATAGAACGTTGGCGATTATGGCACTCCACGACTTCCTGTCTTTGCTATGTCTAAGTAAATTTTAAAATTTTGGTGAGTTAAATTAAAATTCCCGCCTTCCATGGTGTTGTGCAACAGTTGTAAGCGAAAGTAAATGAATTCTTCTTCTATTTGTCATGTGACTTCAGAACGTTGGCGATTATGGCACTCCACGACTTCCTGTCCTTTGCAATCTCTTAGCAAATTTTGACATTTTGGCAAGTCAAATTCAAATTCCCGCCTTCTATGGTGTTCATTTTCGTACAAATACCCTTGAGTGTAGGTATAGATCCATATCTCCCCCAATTATTGGGTAAATAACTAAATAGACAGGACCCTGTTGTGAGGCTGCCAATGTCGTAGAATTAATTTCCTAAACTCAAAAATGTGTATAGCCAACAAGAAACTAAT